GGCCACATCGATGTCACCTATCGCTCGCCCTCTTGGCGACCTCTGCGAGTTGAGTCGGATACGCTCGCTCACCAGTGGCAAGAGTGGCTGCGTGCATCGGGTTTTGAGACGATCCACGGGCACAGTCCTGACCACGATGAGCACGCTCATCACGAAGGGCATGACCATGAGCAGGGCGATGCGGCATCTGATGGCGATATCGTCCTGTACCGTGCCCCGGCTTGGGGCGCTCAGCACTTTGATCAACCGGGGAAGGCCGACGAGTTTGTCATCCTCACTCAGGCACTACGTTGTCAAATCGAAACGACAGGCCACGCCGGACACACGGATATTCGCTTCGTTTGTCCTCAATGGACCGCTGTTGAATTCCCCAATCACAAGGTAGCTGAAGCTTGGATAAAATGGCTTGAATCGGCTGGGTTCGAGGTCAAGCACGAAGACTACCACGACCACTAGTTACCTCTTATTCACAGTCTTGTTCTTTATCACCCCACTTACCTCGGAGAGAACCATGAACATTTCACGTTTACTTGCCGGAACGATTGCCAGCGTTTCCGCTCTCTTGCTCACAGTAGTTGGCTGTGGCCAGTCTCAAGATGGCGTTGTTGGTACCGCACCACCCGCGACTGTCGATTCGCATGATCACCCAAGTGAAGGTCCCCATCACGGTGGGCTAATCGAGCTAGGCAATGAAGAGTACCACGCCGAGCTGGTGCATGATGACGCAGCGGGAACCGTGACGGTCTATCTGCTCGACTCGGCTGCAAAAGCGGCCGTTCCAACTGAGGCGCCTGAGCTGCTCGTTAATCTCAGCCATGACGGAAACGCGGAGCAGTTCAAACTGGTCGCGAGCCCGGAAGCGAGCGATCCAGTCGGTAAGTCTTCGCGATTCACGTCAAGCGATGCCGAACTCGCTGAAGACCTAGACCATGAAGGAGCAGCAGCCCAGCTCGTAGTAACCATTGGCGGAAAGCAGTTCCGTGGCAACATTGCTCACGACCACGACTGAGAATCGCATGAAGAGCATGACCAATAATACTTAACAACAACTTTGTGGATTTGACTTGGTCAATATGGGAAAGGTAGCGATCTCTATGAACGGGTTCCTTGTAGCTAGAGCGGTGGCGATTGCTGTGTTGGCGACCGCCTCACTTTCCTGCGTTCATGACCTAGCCTACGCTGCTGAGCTAAACCAGACGGCGGAGAAAAAGGACGAGACGCCTGCGCAGAAACTTTCGACTGAGTTTCGCGAAGCGGCAGAACGGGCGACTCCGGGGCTCGTGACGATCTACACGATGCGGGGCCCTCACGAGACCCCGGAATGGCGGAGCATGGAGGCTCGTGGGGGTACGCATCCCTCGACGCAAAAAACGTCCGGGCCTGCTGCTTACCCCGATGCGGGGTCTCCCGACGAGCAAGGGTCGGGGATCATCGTCGATTCGCAGGGTTTGATACTGACGTGTCACCACGTCGTAGCAGCGGCTGATGTTGTATTCGTTGTCCTGCCGGACGGTCGCCGATTCGAGCCAGTCGAAGTGTATTCCGATCCAGAAGCGGACTTGGCGCTGCTGCGAATTGAGGGAGCAGGAGAGCTATCTGCCGTTCGCCTGGGCAACTCGGATGAGTTGGAAGTCGGTGACTGGGTTGTCTCGTTGGGGAATCCTTACGAACTCAAGCGTTCGGTCAGCGCGGGCATAGTCAGTGCAATGGACCGATGGGTGCCAGGCATTCCACATCCCATGATTCAGAACGACGCTGCAACCAACCCTGGTAGTTCTGGGGGCGCTTTGCTCAATCTCGATGGAGAAGTGATTGGCATCATCACCGGGGCTTTCGGCTCGCGTGAAGAGTTTCAAGGCATCGGATTGGCAATTCCTGTCAACCTAGTGACGGACTTTATCGGCTCCAGGAACAACGAGCGGCCACCGATGCAGGCGTATCTCGGCTGCCAAACTCAGAAGCTTTCTCCAGAAGTGGCGAAACAGCTTGAGCTGCCTGTTGCAGGTGGACTCTACGTTAAAGACGTTGAAGAAGGTTCTCCGGCCTCGAAAGCGGGCCTCTCCGAAGGCGACATCATCACTCATTTCGATGGCCAGCCAATCGACGAAGGTTTCCGGCCTGAGCAACTGCATGACGAGCCCAAACCAGAGGAAAAGCACGCATTCTCAGTTGTTCGTGGTGGACGTTCGATTGCCATGGTTGTGAAGATGACTGGATATCCCCACGAAAGAATGGACACTCAAGCCTTAGCTGCGGAACACGCCGTAACCCCTTGCGAGTACTTTGATCAGGCGCTCGGGATGGGGCTTACCACGTTGACACAAGATGTGGCCAGGGAGTTGCGTATCCCGATAGACCAGAAGGGCACCCTCATTACTGAGGTTGCGGTCGCAAGCCCGGCCTACAAGGAAGGGCTTGCTGCGGGAATGGTCGTCGTACGCTACAACGAGCACGCAACGGTCGATCCGAAACTCTACGAAACAGCGGCGAGCAGTGCGCCTGCCGACCGACCGGTGCTTATGCTTGTTCGCTCAAGTAAAGGCAATCATCTTGTCGTGTTTGACGTTCAGTAGTCTGCTTAGCGTACGTATAGGTGTCGATAAACACTAGAGTTGGAACACTGTCCCCTGTGAGTGTGAAGCAGTTGATGTATTGAAGTCATGCGGGCGATATTGATAGATATCTAATGAACGATGGCCAGCCATCACAACTCAACTATTCTGGCGTTAGAATGTTCCGACGTATCAATCTTGTTGTTCGAAAGGCTGTCGCGTTATGCCTGGCCGTCGCGATTTTGTGCCAGACGGCATTGGCGGAGCAATGCGTCTGTTCACCGTGCCCGACGACGGGTTCGTCATCCTGTGCTTGTTGTTATGACCAAGGCGATACTCACAACACGGTTGGCTGTTCAGAATGTTCCGCAATATGCTGTCCCGTCAGTAGCGACGACGGCTCGATTCCCTCGCAGCCCTGCTCATGCCAGTGCCATCAGGCTCCTTTCGGTGTCGTCCCACTCCCTTCAGATATATGGGCGGGATTATATGAACTAATTGACCATGCGGACTTCTATGTGCCCTATTGGCCGATCGTGCCTAAGCCTTCGTCGCTAAGGCTTCTCCGCTTTCATCGGGCGAACGATTCTTGGTCGCCGCTGGAGACATGTATACTTCTCTGCCGGTTCTTGACTTGAAAATGGCTCTGAGCCTTTCGATGTGTCGCTAGCGTAGCTTCTCGTT